ACAAAGAATAATATTCTCAGAATATATATTTCAAGACCGAGGGATCGAAATACTTTATAAATATATGTGACCAAAAGGGTATAAACAGGACTCCGATTGTGTACTTAGAATCTACAAGTGAAGAGCTATGTAGGGTGCTAAAAGGAGGACTATATATACAGGTATTTTGTCACGGGTTCACCATCCTTACCATCCCTGTGATAGAAAGGGTCCTAGAGATAAGTATTGTATAATGCCTAGGTCTAAAGCTATAGAGCTAGAGCTCTAAGCTGTGAAAGGAAGGTCCAAGAGAGCCGTCGTATCATGCTACGTACGTAGTATGAGCCAGTGGCGGAAGAGAGCCGTCTGTTCCGTCACATTAAAGTTGGTCGAGATCGAAATAATATATCAAATAAAATAATAATAGGATCAATGACTCCGAGATTCCAATTGCCAAAAAATGGTATTCACAATATCTGAGTCGATGCCAACTATTCTAGAAATGACTAGTATCATTATTATAGTACTGGACAGACCAAAGAAAACTTTGAATATCTGTCGAGCTGCCTTTTCGTGTATGAAAGCCAAGAATAACTCGTCTGGGATACGATCAATCTTTTGAATACACCAAAATTAGCCTGGATGCTTGATCTTATGATAGCATAAATGACAAACCTGAGTAAGAACAATTGATCTGTTGAAGAGAATGAATAGAATCCAGAGGACTTGGTCGTTTTGTCGAAATGTAACAACGACGATCCCTACAATAAGACATATGAGGGATATCCATTGTATAAATCTATATACCAATAATCTAGTAATCCACCCAAAAGATGTATTAGATGAGACTGATGAGTCAATGTAAGAGTTTATATCGAATCCTGTCCAAAGTATAAGAACGAACAGTATAGAGACTGAAGATACTTGGTAGAATGTATTCAACATGATAGTAGGTACTAAGTAGATACAAGAAAAGTTTAGAGAAAAGGTAAATATGCTGGATTATGTTCATAGATATGAGTACCTCTTATACTTCAGGTTAACGCAAATTCCTATTTATGACACGATATCTGAAATATAATAATATATTCAATGCATATTATAATTTTTGTTTATTGGACTCTTTCTAACATACAACCCTGCTTCCTTATGGAATTTGACGCCGATTAGTAGCCCTCCGGAGCTGATTTCCTTCTTTGAGGACTCATATCCACATAACCTGCATTGTGATTTTTGAGATCAAGACTATCGTTGAGCATTTGCTTTTCCTCAAACCAGTCTAATGAGTGAGAGAAGCCACTGATGCTTCGACGAAGATCTTCTACACCTAGCTTGCAGTACGTGTGTCGTGGGACACCAGGAAACTTGGGACTACATTCTTCGTCTGTCATGTCATTGATGGTCGGCAGTGTGGTCGATGAGTGGGTACCAGCAAGATCTCAGGCTCTCTTCAATAATACATTTTTCTTATTATATGCAATGCGTATAATAAGCGGGCATTGGTCCCCAGCATTTGTTTTCACTTCCCCAAATCGAACATATTCCATTTTTGTAAAATAAAAAGTTATCTGCTAGCGCCTATAGGGTCTAGCCGTCCTATATAGTCTTAGACTGAAGATGGACGTAAATTAAATCAATCAATCAATCAATCAATCGACTCCAGCAACTTTAAATAACTTTGTAGGTGCTTCATTTACATCTGGGTTCTTATATATACAGGGAATACAATCACCACAGAACATCTGTAAATAATCATGGTTAACTCTAGAATATACAAAACAGCTGAGCTTCTACCTACACAGCCACAACCATCCAGGGTATATATTACATTCTCATTTTCGTTCCCTTCCCCTAAAGCTTGTGGACAACCTGTACAATATATAGTATCTATTTTCAAGTCGAGAGCTTCGAAATATCGATGGCGTTTGTTTGGCTTTGTAATTAAACTGGTATCGGATTTCGAATCATTACTTTTCATAGACCAGCGGCGTTTGTGAATATGCGATTGTGGATTCAGATCGATTTCGGAAGCGTCTAATTTCCAATCCATTGTAAATTAAATATTCTCAATTAAGATCAAGATGAAAGGATCTCTTTTAATAGAAATTTATACTATTTTTAGCGCTGCTGCTCGGTTATTTTTATCATTAAACAGATATCTTATTTAATCAATACCCTATTTAGTCTTTATGCTTTTAAGGACTTTAACTCTGAAAGAAATAAAATTAATTTGAGATTTGCTCAAAATATAAAAGGTAAAGAAAGAGTTGATTGAAAGAACCCTAAGTTTTAAATCTATTTTATCGATACAATCATTTAAATATTGTACAATATGAAGTCATATTTCATATATTATCTCCTCCTCTTTATATATTGCTTACATAAAGCTAACTCATTAGAAACTGCAATTGATGGTTATCGAAATGTTGCTTATTATGTTAATTGATTGAGCTTTTCTATCTTATATAAACATTGGGATATTAATATACCTGCAGGGCAATCTATGGAAGACAATTCTATCTGCAAGAGTTACCTATTGCAAACCTCACACATGTGTTATATACTTTTGCTAATATTAATCTAGAATCTGGAGCTGTGTAAGCTATTAAATCTTCATCGTATAATAATTGCTAACGAATTCTAGATATTTGTCAGATCTCTAAGCAGACATAAATGCACCGTTGTTAGGGAATTCTTCACAAAGCTCCGATTCAAATCTCTATGGCTGTCTTCAGCAGATATATATCTTAAAGAAACAGAATAGAAATCTCAAGGTACTACTATCTATAGGAAATTGGATATACTCTTCAAACTTTCCTGCAGCCGCATCTACTATTTCCAAAAGAGCTACATTTGCCTCATCCGTAGTCTCTCTAGTTCAAAATCTAGGTTTAGATGGGATTGATGTTGATTGGGAATATCCCTCAAATGATACCCAAGCAAATGATTTCGTTTTGTTGCTTCAGGAAGTTAGAGATGCTCTCGATAGACTTGGCGACTCGCTACAGAACCCTTATCATTTTCTAATTACTGTTGCAAGTCCAGCTAGTCCTGCTGTATGCCAAAATTGGCAAATATCGGAAATGGATCAGTACATGGATTTCTGGAACTTCATGGGCTATGATTACTCTGGTCCTTGAAGCTCTGTTTCTGCCCATCAAGTAAACCTATCTTTTCCGGAAATGAATCAACTTTATTTAATACAGAAACAGGTATCAGTTATTACATTACTCGTGGTATTGCTTCAGATAAGATTGTTTTAGGAATGCTTATATATGGAAGATCACTCGATCAAACGAGCAGATTAGATCAAAGCTTTCAAAGTGTTGGATAAGGAATCTGGGCTTCTGGAGTTTATGACTACAAAGTACTACCTCTACTCGGGGCTACAGAGATATACGATGAAAAGATCGGTGCTAGTTATAGCTGGGATGCTTCAAAAAGAGAAATTATCAGCTATGATAATCCTATAGTTGTTGTTCAAAAAGCCGAATGGATTCAATCCATGAATCTTGGTGGTGCGATGTAGTGGGAAAGTAGTGTTGATGGACGAGGTTCTAGAAGTCTTATCGGAAGTGTTATGAGTGTTCTTGGAGATCATCTCCAAAACATAACAAACCAGCTATCATTTCCAAAGTTCACTTACGCCAATATTAGAAATAGTATGCCCGGATTTTCAAAGTTGCTTTTATCCAATATTACGAGTATGATATTCAATACTTACTATTCAACAAAAGTGTGCACAAGTTCGGGCTTGAATATCTCATCCAGTATTTTAAAAACCATTACTACCAGTCCATCTTCGGAGGCTACAACTGCTGTTGATAGTTTCTCCTCAGGAAATACAGTGGTCATTTCATCTCCAGGAACTGTAACTCCTTCAGATAATTTATTTCAAGGAAGTATAGTCACTAGTTTATTATCAGAAACTACAACCACTGTAGACAACTCTTTTCCAAGAAACATAATCGTTAGTCTATCCCTAGAAACTGTAATCTCTTTAGACAGTTCATCCCAAGGAAGCACAACCATAAGATCATACTCGGGAATTATAATTCTTTTACACAATTCAGCTTTACAAAGTATAGTTGTCAATCCATCCCCAAGAACTACAAATGCTTTAGATAATTATTCTAATAACTATTCACTCACCAGTAATTGTTTTATTATTACAACCATCTATTCTTATTCAGCACTAACAATTATGATTTTATTTAGCACAACCAATGTATCTTTTCCTGTATCTACGAACTCTGTAGTATTTTGTACTTGTAGCAATTATTATTTTGATATCAATTATACTGTATCAGGTATAAGTATTACTACCTTTTACAGTAATACTCTATCGATCTCTATTGGTTTTACAAAAACTATTAAAGAAAAAACGCCTATCTCTACAACAACAACAACAACAACAACATTACCGCTATTAACTGAAAAAACTATTACTACAATAATAACAACAAAATTATTAGTTACAAAACGAAGTTCTAGATACAATCCAAATCTGGAATGTTATACGAGTAATACCAGTATAGTAGAGCTTGGATATTTATCTACAAATTTGTTATATGCAACAGATACAAATAATGATTCAATATGTATTAGAGATTTTATTTGTTTGTATGTACAATCTTGTATAATCAATGGAGATTGTATTCAAGGAGAAGCATGTATTTTTGATTATTATCCTTGTACTAGAAATGATTCCACATGTACATTTCGATATTGTGCGCAATTGAAAACAGGATGCTTGGTTTTAAACTAAAATTGAAATTAAGATAAAAGAAGAGAGTAGTAGTTGCTATATCTTTAAAATAGCAAAACTAAAAGCCTTTAGAAAATCCCAAAAGAGAAGGGATCATTTTTCATTGTATCTGGCTATACTATGTAGATAACCTAGCTGTTTCTTCATTTAATCAAACCTTGACATTTTTAAAGTTTTTTGTTATATTCATTAAGATGTGTTAATACTGATAATGTATAGAAAAGAGCTCGAGATTTGTGTATAAATAATATTAAGCTGCCCGCAATCACGGATATGATAAGTGATTACCTTGAACTTAATATGCTTCACATTTGTATATGACTTACCCCTCTATTTTTGTAAAGTTTATGATCTATCCCTTGGAATTTGACTTGTCCACAAAGAAAACTAACTCTATAACTTAACGTCTATCCCTATGCCCCGAGACACACACTGTAACGAGACAAATCGTAGGTACTTCGAGTTCAAGCGACTTTAAATTTGTGAACGCGTCAAAATTTCTATTCATTTTTATTTCAGTTGTATTATATACCTTCCCCGAACACTCCTAACCTATTAATTCCGAAAATTATTATCGCGTTGTCGCCGCCCCTTTAAATTTACAGAGAGCCTCCTTTTACACTATTTACTGTAAATACATAGAACGATTAGATATGGATATCCAGATTCTATTATAATGTTAAAATGCTATTGCCACACTTGTGGCAGCCGGGGCGTGCCATATTATACGACGCCGCCACATGGTCTGATACATCCTACGACCAAGCGAGCAAGGACCCTGGTCAGCTGCGTCGTGGTTACAGTATCTCTAATCAAAGCCACTAACGGTTTTTGGTTAGCGCAAAATGGCCCCGCACCTTCCATCAGCTCTACTTTCTACGATCGTATTACTGTAATACTTTAACATCAACGCTCTACCACCAGATGGCAACTCCCACGTGTATAATCTGTGATGGCTCTAATGCCAAATTCTGCTCCTCATGCCATTCGATTTCATACTGCTCTCCAGAATGTCAGAAACTCGACTGGCTCCTTCACAAGAAGATCTGCAAGACCTTTACAACCTTGCCCTCACGACCATCACCTTCGCACAAACTCGCAATCTTCTTTCCAGTCGATTCAAAAGATCCACAACTTATCTGGATTAAGTGCGAACGACGTGTAGATGATGAAGACGGAATTGCATGGGAGAAGGCAGATACTCAACACCTTCTGGAAATCGAGAACCTTGACCCCAAATACCAACATGCCAGAGAGTACAAGCATATAACGCGGAATGTGCTTCGCGGATTCAACCTCAGCTACACGGTTCAGGTTATTGTTCGGGAGACTTTTCTAATTGATGGCTCTACGCCTAATGGTTGTGTTCAACATACCACGAAAGGGCAAACGATACACGATTGGAGGGGACCAATACTGGTCATGCGTCAGCCGGGCACGGCTATAGACCCTTTGTTCTACAAGGATATAACGGCTGGTGATTTTCGAGTTGCGATCGATTATTTTCTCTCTTATGGAAGGGATTTATAATCCAGCTTGAAGGTACTTCCTTGGAGCTAGGACACATCGCGCTCAAATGTGGTTAAGGCGAGTAGAACCACTTAATGTAGTTGCTGTTCGCTAGAAAAATAGCACAAAGTGGCTTGCACAATAGAGTGACCGTCGTGAGCATCGCTTTTAGCTGTGGCAGAATTGGGTATAACGTCTGTCCCTGCGTAGCGAGACGCACCTCATCACGAGACAAATTATAGGTACTTCGAATTCGAGCGGCTCTAAATCTATCAAAGTATTAATTATTTATCTATTATCATTTTAGGTGTGTTATATGCCTCTTGTGACGGAACAGACGGTTCAGTTCCGTCCACTGGCATATAGGCCATATGGGCCAAGATGATTTAATTCCTTTTACCTTCCTTTCGAAGCCTAGGGCTTTCGCCCTTCGGCTTCCCCAACCTGTATATAATCACTCCTCCAAGCCAATCTACATAGCTCTTCACTTGTAGATTCTAAGTACACAATCGGAGTCCTGTTTATACCCTTTTGGTCACATTTTATACCTTTTAGAATCTTATTTTGTATAATTTCGAAAATGTTATTGATTCTAAAACTAATTAATTCTGACTTTATTGCTTTTATTTATACTTGAGTATTCTCTCGTATAGCATCTTCTAATTTAACTATTTCAAAAAGTATTATTGGATTATTTTTTTTATTAGAATCTTCAATATCTTGAATAACAACTTTCAAAACATTTACTTATTATATAACTTTGTTATTAAAGATCTTCCTCAATCGATATTTATAACTGATATTTAGTAAATTTCTGATTATATTCGTATTTAACTTTTATAGAATATTCTATTCTCCTGAATCTTATAAAACTTCCTGTTCTACTGAATCTTGTAAAACATTTTGTTTTAATAAATCTTTTTGTAATGTATTC